GTAATTAATATATAAAGGATCTAATATACCAGTTAAAAGACAAGTATTGGCAACGTGGGTAAAAAAACATGACTCAACTACTCACTTCAAACATAGTGACATAGAGAGGTTTAAAGTAAAGGATGGGAGAAGATATATCATGTAGACATTACAAGAATGGCTATATTTATATCAGACAAATTAGATTTCAGAGCAAAGAAAATTACTAGGTATAAAGGAACCTAACAGGATAAAAGAATCAATCTACCAAGAAGATATAAAAATCCTAAATGTGTATACACCAAATAACAGAGCTTCAAAATAAATAAATAAAAAAACTCATAGAGCTAAAAAGAGAAATAGACAAATCCACAGTTATAGTTTTAGATTTCAGCATCCCACTCTCAACATCAACACTCTCAACTCAACAGAAAATCAACAAGGATATAGAACTGAACAACAAAATCAACCACCAATGTCTAATTGACATTTATAGAACGCTCCACCCAACAACAGCAGAATACACTTTTTTTTTTAAGTGCCCATGGAACATGCACTAAGATAGACCAGATCCTGAATCATAAAACAAACCGCAACATTTTTAAAAGACCTGAAATCATACAGAATATGCTCTTTGTCCATAGTGGAATATAGTCACATAACAGAAATCAATGACAGAAAGATAACAGGAAAATCTCCAAATGCTTAGAAATTAAACATGCTAATAAATAATCTATTGACTAAAGAGGAAGTCTCAAAGAAAAAAATTCATAGGATGGAATAAAAATGGAAATGCAACATAGCAAATATTGTAGGATACAGTTAAAGCAGTAGAGGAAAATTATATCACTAAATACTTACATTAGAAAAGAGCTATGATCTCAAATCAATAACTTAATTTCCTTCCTCAAGAAACTAGAAAAAGAAGAGCAAGATACTCTTGAAATAAAGGAATGAAAAAAAATTATAAAGAGCAATAATAAATAAAACTGAAAACAATAGGGAACATTAATGAAACAAAAAAGCTGATTCTTTGAAACAAAATCAATAAAATTGATAAACCTCTGGAAAGTCTGATAAAGATAAAAATAGAGAAAACACAGATCACCAACATCAGGAATGAAACAGAGGATATCACAAAAGACCCTGCATTGTGGGAGAAAGATAAGGCAGTCTGCTTCAGCAGAGATTTACAGCCTTGGAAACCCTATGGGGTCGTTATGAGTTGTAATTGACTCGACGGCAGTGATTTGTTTAGATTTTAAGGGCATACTACAAACAACTTTATACTTATACATTTGA